TTGATGTGTGTATAGATTGTGATAAGAGTTGTATGAGCCCCTAATAAAACGATGGAAAAAAAAGAGTGAGGCATATCAATTTATGATTCTCACATCGGGCAGTTTCCTTGCAGCCCACCTAAGAAAGAATCCTGATCCGTGCCATTTTAACGATTGTTCTCTGCCACGTCCTGGTTCATCAAACTCAAGGAAAAATTAGATAACTCTTCTGCTGAATCTGTAGGAACTGGCTGAATCCCACCACTAGATTGGAGGGTGGAGGCATGTCTGATCTTCGCTTCAAAGGCATTCACCTGGAAGTTGATAATGATTTAAGGTCCAGGAGGTTAGACCATGCCTCTGCCCCACCATTTTCCCACTCCTCCTCTTTCCTTCGGGCACTCACCATTTCTCTCATTTATAATCATGCAAAGATGCAGAGTTAAACATTTAAAAGTATTTTAGATACATACCACACTGTATATAGTGAATTAATAGTATTGTCTCATAGTAGAATATAAAACCTGAAGATGTAGATGTCTATTAGAATGCAAACTCTCAGAAGGGAGGGCTATTTGTCTGGTTCTCTGCCATACCCTAAGCTGCTCAAATAGTGTCTATCACATAGCAGCAATTCAAGAAATATTTGCTCAATGGTTTAAGTTTCATAGAATTTTTCAGTCCTACCAGATTACATCAATTGGTTTACTCATTGATATGTTATACAAGATATGTATTTTAAATGCACTAGTAATTTCTTATACAAAAGAATACTAAAGTGAATCTAAAATGTGATGAATGTTACACCATAGGTTATGTTATTTTATGAGTATTCATTTCTTTAAATCTGCTTTGTAAGACTTTACATGCTCATACTGCATATAGTTAACTTAAGAAGAGTATATTTGCTCTAAAATCATAAACACAATTTTCCTGGAAATTGCATTGATCCTTTTTTTCTTCTAGTCCCATTTAAAATTGGCATTCCACTCCATAATTTAGCTAAGTGATATCATCTTGAAGGAATTAAAATAATGTTCTTACCCAGCCATGTGGGGAATCAGCTTCAACATTCATATAAAGCAAAACATTAAATGAAGTAAATGTATACATGGAAATCTAGGATCATCTGTCCCGAATAATCTGTTTCTCTTTATCAGTTTATCTAAATTTGATCAATTAGACGTTTTTTATCTTCTAGTAATGTGGATTTTTTTCACCACTTTAAAATTGTTTTCTCTCAGATTTATGTTTGATCATCACATTACATATTTTCCCCCAGATCTAGTCACCTTGATTAAACTTATTTCTTAACTGTTCCCGGATCTGAATCAGAGACTGATTCTTCAACATCATGAACATTTTCTGCATAGCGATGGGTCTCATTTCCTCCTTGGGTACCATGAGCCATCCATCCTCCAGGCCCCTTGCTTGAGGGTCCTTTCCTCGGGTGCCTCCTTTCATCTTCTTAGTACACTTTAGTCTCTTCCACCCTAAAACTAAAACCCCTCTACTGATCCAACATTCTCTTTTTCTTTTTCTTCTCAAAAAAGGAACTCTAATTCACTGGTTTTTATTGCATTTCCCACGCACTCCTCCACTTGATGTAAAAAAGATCTGTCCCCATAATGCACATGATATTATTCTAAAGTCACTTGTATCACTTTAATTGCCAAATCCAATGAACACCTGTCCTTATCATCTTTGACCCCTGGTGGTACTCAGTGCCTTGGCTCTCTGCTTTCTTCTTGGGTTCTTTTGTCCCATGTGTCCAGGTTACCTGCTTGACGGATTCACCGTCTACTACCTTCATCATTCCTTTTGGTGAGGCTTTTGATTTCTGGTTTTTGTAAACACTCTCGCCTATGATTAAAGGTTGATCTCCAGGGCTTTGTATTGTTCTCACGCTACAAAATCACCTTGGGAGAGGAATCAATTCTCATCATTTTAATGAACACTTCCTTGCTTTGATCCTCATTTTTAAAATCTCTCCCCACCCCTGGAAACAAGAAGGGTCATCAGCAGCTCTACTGGAGCCCCCGGGAAACTTCGGCCAGGGTTCCCGTCCTTGCTGCGTGTGCTCAAACCGGCACGGTCTGATCCGGAAATACGGCCTCAATGTGTGCCCATAGTGCTTCCGTCAGTACGCGAAGAACAGGGGCTTCATCAAGCTGGACTAAGTGATCTTTGAATGAACTATCCAAGACAGCTACGCAACAGAAGAAACAATGCGGCCAACTATTTGTACATAAAATTTTAAAAATTCAAGTCTGGAATAAAAAACAAAACTCTAGCCCTAAAGTTTCTACTGAATTCTAGGTCTCTGGTTGTTCTCTGAGCATCTTTCTATCTATGCGAAAGTGGATGCCTATCGCTTGAGATCGTTTGGATCTCTTCTACTTGCTTTCTTGGGAGCAACTGTATTTTACATACAGGAAGGATGGGGAAATGAATATTTCAGTTGCCTAAAGGGTATAATAGGATACTTTTATTTGCTGTACCTTTCCGTTTCTCTTCTTTCTGGTAGATGGCAATGCTGCGGGGTAGGTGGTGGGCTGCTACCTGAAAAGTCTGCAGTTCAAACCCACCAGCCACGACTGGAGGAGAAGATGAGGCCCTTTGCTCCCAAAAAGAAGTCCTGTGTTTGGCCCCAGTGGAACCACCTGCTATCTTCATGAGAGCCCCCATCAGCAGTTCGAAACCACCAGCACAAGGTCACTAGGGGTCAGCTCCTGCTCAATGGCAGCGAGTTTGTGTTTTTTAAAACTCTTTCCAAGGGAGCCCTGGTGGCATAGGGCCTTTAGCCATTATGCTGTCAACCCCACAAAGTCAGCCCTTTGAAACCACCATCGGGAGAAAGCTAGGGCTTTCTACTCATCTCAGAAACTCACAGGGCTAATTCTATTCTGTCTCCATAGGGTCGCTGTGAGTCGGAATTAACTTCGTGGCAGTGAGTTTTACTTTGGGGAACACTTCCCCAAAGAATCTTCTGCTCTTTGGTCTAACCCACATCAAATGGCAGTGTGGGCATCTTCGGAAGAGGACTCCATCGTGTCCTTTTCAATGTTCGTAGAATTGGGGGAATAAAAAGAAACCTAAATGGCCAAAATAAGGACTGCAGAGTGAAAGAGGTAGATTTCCTGAGAAATTCTGTCATGTTACATCTATCTTCCAATGGCTGGAACATTTGATTTTTTACACAATTCGCTTCTTGTTGACAATGGTTCTTATTATCGGCAAATAATAGTAAATCTATATAAACCAAGTCAGTTAATCAATCAAAAGGAAACACTGTGCAGTTATTTCTTAGAGTTTATATATTGGATTGTTGCAGATATTCCCTTTTCACTGTAGTCCGCACCCCAGATTTTGGAATACAGCATGCAGCGCCAGTCGCATTTGCTAAGAGCCCAAAAGCCGCGGCACCAAGACAAGTCAAGCAATTCCTAGACCCTTGGCCTTTTTGCAGAAATACACAAAACGTGCAGAATCGCTTAATTTCATCCCCTCCTAGCCTCTTCACATGGAAATTGGCTGCCCGGGCGAATGTTATTTTTCACTGCAGCCAAGTGTCGAAGGGCGATTAGCACTCTCTCGACAAAACCCATTCCTGGGCCATTTGGGGGTTGCACGCGTTCACACCCCTGGAGCCTTCTCGCGCTGCCGTTTTGTTTACGCGGCTGGCAGAGGGAGGGGAGGCCGCGCACCTCGAACTCGGCGGCGGCGGGAAGGCTATATAAAGGCTCCGCTCGGCCGCCAGGGAGGACGGGCC